TCATTAAGAACATTTACTCGTCCTCAATCCGTCTGAGACACGCTGTAATTCAATTCCAGGTGGTGCACCGTCTGCACTGGTCCAAAGACAAGCTGTCCAAGATCAAAGCCAACCTGGATCCTGCAAGTAATCGCTGTAAACAAACTCCAGCTCTTACACACATTCTGGACTTGATCAAAGCTGTGGACCTATTGGCAATCTATTTTTTATACTTTCTCTGGGACATGTGGAAAAACTGTGCACCCGTCACCATTCGTCTTACAGTTTGGGATGGCCCCAGTGGATACGTCCTTCAGCAAGTATGAGAGGAATATGATTGCTTCTGGCACTCTTCTAGCCAGGAGGCTTATTTTATGCAGATGGAAAGATGGAAGGAGCCACATCCTCTGGCATACGGATAAGAGAAGTTATGCATCATGTTCTTCAGGAAAATATTAGACGTACTCTGTTGAGAGACTCTGGGACGCTTGGCAGCCTTTTGTCTCTTATACTGAAAGTCTGTCAGTACCTGTCTAATGTCCGTGTAGCTGAGCCGGTACAGGAGGAGAGTTTGTTGCTCCGTGTGTTCGAAAACACAAAATCAATGTAAATAATAATAAAGCATGTTTTAATCCCAGTAAACTGAGTGACATAAAATAAGGACAAGTGTTTGATGTTTAAACTCCTTGAATTTGACTAAACTTTCAGTTTAACAGGCTTCTGCTGTAATTCTCATCGTTCTTACTTCGCTGTAATTTAACCGATTTGAGAAACTCACGTTTGTAAAACTGCACTTTGTGTTTTTTTCCCTTCAACTTCTTTAAAGGTTACATCTTAAATTGCATTAATTTGAAATTAAAACATCGTTTCATTTTAAACTCTTCCGGCGAACAGACGTTTAATTTTGGAGCTTTAGTTTGTGACTCACGCTGAAACAATGAGTGAACGTTCCTGTGGCTCATTTTCACAAATTCTTTTTTCTTCTAGTTAAAAGTTTTGTTTTGGCTCCGGTCCTGAATCTTCATCTTCATCCGTGTGACGAAGACGCCCGAGAGCCGCAGCATCCGTGAAACCGATTCACCATCAGAGCACGTGTCAGAGAAACGACGCGGATGTGCAAAACGACAACAGTGACGCAACCGTTTGGAAATCCCAGTTCTTCCTGTGCCTTTTCCTTCATAAACACACACACACACACACACACACACCTGTGCACAGCTACAACCCCCGCCCTTCCCTTCGCGGACCAGGAAATGTCCGACTTGTACAATGGAGATCAGGTCTGACGCCACCGCCGACACAAACAAACACTGGAGGCCCCACAGAACCAGAGCAGAACCCCAGTCTGTGCTGGGGGGGACACGAACAGAATACTTCAGGTTCTTTAAGTTCAAGCATCACTGCTTTCTCTGCACAAGGAACAAGAGAAGATTTGCATCAAGGCGGATTTGTTCTTCTTTTAGCTAAATTTCCTTCATTCTGCTACTTTCAGCTTACAGCTAGCTTTTTGCTACATTTACCTTAATCAGTAACTATTAGCCGTTTTTAGCTTTAAGCTTAGTTTTAGCTTCAACAACACAAGTCACAGCACAGCTACTAAAATGTTTTGGCTCATTTTCAGCTTCTTCAGCAGCTTTCAGTAAATTCACAGAGAATGCATTGTTTTCAAGTTCAGTCCTCCTGGGCCGATTATTTTATCTTTTTAATTCTGATGACTGACTCCATTCTACCACCAACACCTGCCTCCACCCTCGTTCCCTCCACTCTGGGCCCTTGAGCAAGGCCCTTAACCTCCACCATCTGCTCCCCCCGGGCGTCCTACATGGCAGCTCTGCTCCACACAGAGGCTGTGGTAGCTCGATGGTCTGGTTGCATCAGGAAGGGCATCAGGTGGAAAACCAACAAGAACAAGAACAACAACAAGTAGAACAAGAACAACAAAAACAACAACAACAAGTAGAACAACAAAAACAACAAGTAGAACAAGAACAACAAAAACAACAACAACAAAAACAACAACAACAAGTAGAACAACAACAACAAGTAGAACAAGAACAACAAAAAGAAGAACAAGAACAACAACCAAAAGAACAAGAACAACAACAAGTAGAACAAGAACAACAAAAACAACAACAACAAGTAGAACAACAACAACAACAACAAGTAGAACAACAACAACAAAAATAAGAACAAGAACAACAACCAAAAGAACAACAACAAGTAGAACAAGAACAACAACAAGAACAACAAAAAGAAGAACAACAACCAAAAGAACAACAACAAGTAGAACACGAACAACAATAAGAACAACAAAAAGAACAAAAAAATAATAAGAAGAACAAGAACAACAAGAACAACAAAAACAACAACAACAAAAAGAAGAGGAACAACAACCAAAAGAACAACAACAAGTAGAACACGAACAACAATAAGAACAACAAAAAGAAGAAGAAGAACAACAACAACAACAACAACAACAACAATCAAAAGAACAACAACAAGTAGAACAAGAACAACAATAACAACAAAAAGAACAAAAAAATAATAATAAGAAGAACAAGAAGAACAAGAACAACAACAACAACAACAACAACAAAAAGAACAGGAACAACAACCAAAAGAACAACAACAAGTAGAACAAGAACAACAAAAAGAAGAAGCTCGTCTAAAACCATATTCTGTCCTTCAACGACACCTGGACCTTTAATAATTATAACATAACATAAAATCAAATCTTTCACATTTGTGGAACAGTTCCAAGTTCAGCCTCCAGGTGGCGGTCCAGGTTAATTTCATCCCGGACAGGAAGCGGTTCATTCAAGCCGAGTTATCTTTGCTGGATTTAGGTTTCTGTAAACCAGTTCAAATCATATAAACTCAAAATCTTTTTTTATTTTTTATTTTTATTAGCCCAGTAATGGTCTGAGGTCCATGAAGCAGAAATCTGAGCATCTGTTTCTTCAGCTCCGTCAGGCTCTGAATTCTGACACGACCCGTCAAGTTTGGATCGCACCTCAGTGGTTCTGGAGCTGCTCAGGCGGGTCAGAAGCAGTGAGGTCTTCTTCCTGTCGGTCTGTTTTATTTTTATTACTATAAACAGAAACATGATTATTGACCCGGATCAATAAAACCATGAAGTTGGTTTCTTTGCTCAAACAAGACCAGGTTTTATGAACCTCCTGCTCCAAATCTGGGTCCTAGACCTCCTTCACAACAGAAGAAGTCAACCCAAAGCAATATGGCCGCCACAGCTAATCAAACTTACAACAAAAATATCTAGAATCAATTCCATCTTACAGATATTTGGATTTATTTGGTGCAGCAGTAGCTGAGACTGTCATCGGGTCATAGAGGCAACAGGTCCAACCAAGACCTCCCTCTCCAGCTCTTCCTGGGGGACACCGAGGCGTTCATGGACCAGAGAGGACAAATAAGTTCAGAGTCTACCAAAACACCCGCGGACAGGTGGACCACAACACCCGCGGACAAGTGGACCAAAACACCCACGGACAGGTGGACCAAAACACCCGCAAACAAGTGGACCAAAACACCCGTGGACAAGTGGACCAAAACACCCGCG